ATTTTCAGTCGTGGTGGTTCGATAACAATACTGTCATTTCCTGAAGACTCACTGCAGGTGTCAAGTGCAGTGTTAAGTGTTTTGCAGCTGTTACCACTTTAATCCTTACAGCAACCCCTGCGACCTCTATATTTTATTGTTATTCCTGTCTTATGGATCACGAAACGGACACATTCTAGACTGCAGGCTGGCTGATTGGCAAGACCACGGTTGATGTGGCCAGAGACCCAGAGAGAGGTTCATTTAACAGCAAAGTTTGGGCACGTGATTTGGCTGTGGACCTAATCTAATGTGTTAACTGGTTAAGAGCCTTCCCCTCGACTTCCTCAAAATAACTAAAAGAATCTAAACTTTAAACATTGAAATACCATACACATACAGAAAGTTCATGAATCCCATGTGTCTAGCTCAGCGACTTTTCACCAAAGGCAGCCACCTGTGTAACCAGCCCTTGGATCAAGGAACAGAGCAGGATCATTGCCCGGAAACCCGTCCCATGCCCCTTGCAGTCACCAAGGTTAACTACCACCTTGACTTTCAGTACTGCAGATAAATTTTGCCTGTGTTCGAAATTCTAGAAATGCAGTCATTTCCATGTCCGTTCTTTTGTACCTGGCTGCGTTCGGAATTCAGGTGTGAGCGATATTCATGAATACTCACTATCTGTTCATACATTCCTCTTTCTGATTGGTTTTACTTTTCCTAGTTCCTCAACCAGTAGAGAAAGTTAAGTTTCCTTCTGGGATCCCTTCACCATTGTCACGATGAGCCCTCAGTGTGGCCTTTTATCGAAAAAGCTCTGTTATTATTGTAGGTGAATAATTTCCTCCCCTGGTTTTTTCCTTCCAGTTGATCCGTCCTAAAGACCCATCTGCCCTTTGCGTTGCTCTGGTGTGTTCATTTGATTTGGCTCTGCAGCCCAGCAGGCAGCACCAGCTTCCTGCGGGGCCCCCTGTGACTGATGTATTAACATCCATATGGGTTTCCCCTGGGACGGATGAGTGTTCACAGCTTCTGACAGCAGCTCACTGCATTGTGAATCAATTTTAAATTGCCTCCGTATGATGATCGCGGGCCTTCTGTGCATTTTAAAGAAGAGGACACCTGGGAGAGAAGTGGGTGTCTTCCAAAGATCAGACAGATCTCCCGTCTGTTACTCGGTGCATCTATTTAATCTGGAACATTTAACTCTATGATAAGCAGGCTTTCGGTTGAAGGAAGATAAAATTTCCTTTCGCTGAAAAATCTGGAATTGCTGAAAGGGTGCCTGAGGGAAACCCGGCCTTACCTGGAGGTGCCCAGCTTGATTTGTGGTACACAGAGAGAAACTAATCCTCACGTGTTATTTCTCTCGTAGCACCGAGATCTTTGAGAAGCAGTTTCCCCACCTTAACCACCATCCTTATAAATCATGTGCAACTCAATTGTTTTACTTTTATTTTTATTTTTTTAATTATTATTTTATTATTTTTTTTGAAATGGAGTCTTGCTCTGTTGCCCAGGCTGGAGTGTTGTGGTGCAATCTTGGCTCAGTGCAAGCTCTGCCTCCTGGGTTCACACCATTCTCCTGCCTCAGCCTCCCGAGTAGCTGGGACTACAGGTGCCCGCCACCACACTCAGCTAATTTTTTTGTATTTTTAGTAGAGACAGGATTTCACTCTGTTAGCCAGGATGGTCTTGATCTCCTGATCTCGTGATCCGCCTGCCTCAGCCTCCCAAAGTGCTGGGATTACAAGAGCGAGCCACAGCACCAGACCTCAGTTGTTTTATTTTATGGAAATTTACTTGTCATTTCTTCAGTATCACCTGGCTTTTTTGTTGTTGTTTTTGGACCCAGAGCATGGAGCCTGATTCTGAGTCATAGAACTTGGCTACTGGACGTTGCTCATTGAGCATTCTTCAAAGCCTAGAATTCTTGTAGGACATGAATAGACTTAAACTCTCACAGTTCTGTGAGAGTTTAAGGGCAACAAAATGCTATTTTAAGGGCAACAAAATGCTATTTGATTATTAATCCAAATATCCCATAATAAACGGCATAGGTTCCTGTTTAACTATAATGTGCACGTTGAAATATGATGTGGGCTCGATATATTGCTAAGGACACCAAATAATCCTGTTGGATGAAAAATGAGATTGAGTGGTTTGGTGATGTGAGGGCTTAGAGCTATATTGTTTTTATACGTGTATTTATTTCCCAGGACAGTCTCCATGGTTCCCATTATATGTGCTTATTCATTCAAATTAAGAGTAACATTAAGGGTTTGGGCCAAATAGCTATTTTACTATTAGTTACTGGAACCAATTTGCCAGCAGGTAACAGATTGAGATTGTGTCCTGTGGTTGAGTGGGGGGGAAGTTTAAAAGTCTTCATGTGTTTGATGTTTTGCTTTTATGGAGGGAAGATAATAGCATGCATTTTATTTTCAAACAAATGTATGTGGGTTTTAAGTGCAGGGTGGTAGAGACCTGGCATAATCGTTTTCAGTTTTGTGCTTGCTAAGTTACTTTACAAAATTTGAGTTTGTATGAAAATGAAAATTTAAGCACTGTGTTAGTACTCATGGTGTTTACATTATGTATAAAGCTGGCAATGACAGGCTCCAGAAAGGCACACTTTTTCAAGGGTTATTGACAGGAGGAAGCAGTGCCTACTTCACTTATTGTTGATGGTTTGAACTTTTAGCGCTTCTAGTGATTTCAAGTTAAGAAAGTGGAAATAGTGGTCTTCAAAGTAGAATGTGCATACTTTTTTTTTTTTAGACAGAGTCTTGCTCTTGTGGCCCAGGGTGGAGTGCAGTGGCGTGATCTTGGCTCACTGCAACCTCCATTTCCCAGGTTCAAGTGATTCTCCTGCCTCAGCCTCCCAAGTAGCTGGGATTACAGGCATGTGCCACCACGCCCAGCTATTTTTTGTATTTTTAGTAGAGACGGGATTTCACCATGTTGGTCAGGCTCGTCTTGAACTCCTGACCTTGTGATCCGCCCACCTCTGCCTCCCAAAGTGCTGGGATTACAGGCGTGAGCCACCGTGCCCAGCCGAATGTGCATCATTTTATCTGTTGACATAGAGTGAAAACATTAGCACTTCTCTTTCTTCTATCCTCTAAAGTGTCTTTTCTTTGTTTATGTTTTATCATGTCCCTAGGATCTTAGCTCTTGGAGTTTAAATTAAGTTCGTTGGAGGAAAAAATATGCTTTGAATTTGGTGTAGAAGTAGAAGTGGGTAATCAGGATTAGGTTTGTTTGTATTTAACAGGGGAAGAAAATGGTAGCTTAAATAATGTGGAAGTTTATTACTCTCTCACATAAAAGACACTGGCTCTCAGCAGCTCAGGGCAGGTATGACAGCCCCATAGTGTCACCAGGGCCTCTGCGTCCTGTCTTTCTGTTCTGTCTCCCCCAGCAATTCCTTCCTTCCTCCCTCCCTCCCTCCCTCCCT